GTTTTCTTTTGTTTGCCTTAAGTTGTTATCATAGATTGAAGATTCTTCACTTTTAATTGTAACTTTGAAGTTTAGAGTGAAATTGAAGGTAAAATTAGAGATTTGAAGGACTTATAAAAGAGTTGTGCTGAAGGCTAATAGAGAGCAACCACAGGTAGCTTTTCTTTCTTGACATCTCACTTAGGGATTAAAAACTTAAGTTATTTGTTTGGTGAGGGGAGATATTTTGAGAACTTGGGAGTTATTAATATATGAACTATGGGTATGTATTTTCATACCTAGTTCAGCATTTTTATCATTGCATATTGAAACTTTATTTTCCAAGGCAATAGAGTTATATGTAGCATACTGAATCATCTGGGGGAGATTTTTCAAAATCTTTTCTGCTGAGAGATTTTGAGACCATGGGCAAGCGAGTGAGTTTATGTTTGTATTGGGAGATGTAGGGATTGTTCATGTAAGTATTACGGGAAAAAAACTTCCTAAGTGATTCTGATGCATTCCCCACTTGAGAGCCATTATCCTAGCTGATGGTATATAAGCCTGTAGACAGTATCAGACTTTAGGGGTATCCAGGTAGTCTAAAATTAAAAAGAAGAAAAGAGCAGATTTTTAGGATGACTAATTTAAGCTTAGCAGACTGGGAGGGTAGTACTATAGTTAATTGAGGTAGAAAATACTGTAAGAATTTACAGGTTTGGATAATAAAGTCAGTTTTATGAAAATTGAGTTTGAGGTGCTTTTAGGGTATCCAGTTGGAGACGACTGGTAGATAGTTACAAGTCTAACTCAGTGGTTTGGAAGTTGTTGGCGTACAGGTATTATTGGATGCTCTGAGAATGTATGAGATCATCCAGAAAGAAGAAAAGACCAACGATAGAACTTGAGGAATCTGTGGAGACTGAAAAAGAATAAGGCAGAAAGTACATAGGTGAAAATAGACTCCCCGGGTGGTGCAAATGGTTAACGTGCTCAACTGCTAACTGAAAGGTTGGAAGTTTGAGTCCACCCAGAGGGGCCTTAGAAAAAAGTCCTGGTGATACACTTTCTAAAAATCAGCCATTGGGAAAAAACCTATGGAGTACAGGTCTACTCTGATAACACATGGGGTTGCCATGAGTTGAAATCAACTTGATGACAACTGGTTAGGTG